AGGGAGAATATATTGCTTGTCCAGCCGTAGACGTAGTACTTTCAAGAGGGTGAACCACGTTACATTCAAACTCTGCCTAATCATGCTAGTGTCTTGCGATTTTTGGTAATTTGTAACAGACTTATACCAAAAGAATATTTTGCATACATTTTCATGAAACAACATCATTTTTTGTATTATGACAAATTGGGATGCAAAATTTATGATTCATGTTAAAAATTTTAGGATTACTTTTTATTAGCAATAATACAATTAAGATGCAATATATAAATAAATAAGATGCAATATATAAATAAATTTTTAAATTTCAATATATTTACATTCTAAACAAAATATAAGATAAATTGTGAGAATATTTATTGTGAAAAAATATGTAGACGGTTACATAACATTCTTGTGTGATCAATTATACCTTTTGTAATTATTATTATAAAAGATCGATTAGTTTTCACTTTTAATAAATGAGAGTTTGAGTACATCATTTTGAGGTTACATTTGCAATCATAACTAAAAGATAAAAATAAAAATTGTAATAAAAAAACTTACAAAACATCAAATTATAAAGTTATTCAATATTGCATTAGGTAGTGACAACGTAAATAAAAATAAAATTTGAAAAGATGGATATTGCAACTCTAGTCTTAGCTAATAAAGTTGAATCTAAAGCAATTTTCATGGGAAACTTTAGAGTCAAAAAAAAAATCACTTCTAGAGATTGGTGATTAAAAAAATCCCATGTTTTGATTTAGAAAAGTCATGTAGAATATAAGCCTATTAGAAACAAAATTTAGAAGTATGCATTATGGGAATGAACATATTTTTGTGTATCAAAATTTGTTGCAATTTTTTACATGGAGTTTTATCTCATTAATATTGCTCTAGTATGCTACATTATATGGAAATAAAATGTTTGAAAACAAAGTGTTGTAGTTTCAAGTAGTAAACCACAACAAAAATTACTGAAAAGTTTCAAAGTGTTGATTTTTCTCAAATGCATAAAAAGGTTTTATTGAATTTGCATTAAAAAATATATATTCATGAATAAATCATGAAAAAATATATTTTTAAATACAAATTTTGAGTATAATTGGATTATATATGTTGGCTGTATTCAAATAGAGCTTAAATGAATTAATATGTAAGAAATTCATGATAATCAATTAATCCACTAAAACTGAGGTAATCACAATTTTTCAATAAATTTAACGTACTCACAATCACAATCGTTGAGCTATTGGACAATATTATAGAATTAATTCATCCAACATCAATGTAACTGAAAAATTGTAGACTTTTACAAATTATGCATCATCAAAATAATAAACATAATAATTGAAGAACACATGTGTTAATGATTAAATTCAAACTTTTCATATCATTGATAATCCAACTGCAAAATAATATCCGGAGGAAAAAAAACATGATAACTATCATGCATGCCGTACTATATATCAGATTGTCAAGTTTTGCAAAATCCAAGCAAGACCACAAGGTGTACATTTTATGTTACAAATACATCCTATCAACATGAGTGAGTCCAAGAAAATAAATTATCCTTTTACAAGAAAACAAAGATCAATAATAACTTTATCTCAAGAGTTTACTCATTTTGCAAAAGAAAACCAACAGTGAAGTAGAATTAAGACATTGTCATAAGAAAAAGCAAAATACAAGTTCCAACTAATTGTCACAGATTATATCTAACTATAGAAATGTGAAATTTTCAGCAATATTTGATGCATAATCAAATTTTTTTGTCACAAATGTTATAATGTAATTAATTTTAATGTCAAAGAAGTTAAACAAGAAAAATTATAATTATAAAAAATGTATAGATCAAAGCCATAGGTCATTAGTGTAAAATAATCTATAGCATGAATATACTGAAAAAAAGAAAATTACATTTTCTATTTATAATATTATGATGAATTTTATGGTTATAGAAATACAATTTGAAACTGAATAAAAAATGTAATAAAAAAGTCAAGTTAAGAAAAATACATTCGAATTTAGGTTTAAATTTGTAGTTTAAAAATGTTTTGAATATTTTATTAAAATCTAATTTCAGAATAACCATAAAAGAATGTGTGGATCACAAGATTGAGGTGATATTAAGAAATATATTAACTTGGAAAATTTCATGTTGTTTAAATTCAAATGGCTTGGAAAAATGCAAAATTCTGTTGAAAAAATATTACGCAAAATGTATGACAAGTAATCGTTTTATATCATTAATCATCAATATTATTTGTGTATAAAAGAACAAAAACATAAAATAATACATTAATTATAGTGGACTTGATCAACAAACAGTGGAACTAAAATATTCATTGACGAACTTCAAGCGGAATATGTTTTCATGGATTTGGTTATGAAAAGATAATACAAACAAATTGTATTTGCAAATAAAAATAATAATTGTTGAACTTAACGCCGGAACCTCAAGTTCTAGCTAACTATAGTAAGGTTGTTCGGTGTTGGGTGTATATAACCCAAGGCTTCTACTCTGTACGGATTGCATTTATATTCATTTGGATAGATGTCTTAATATATATTTTGATTATATTCATGATTTAATAGAATCTTGAATAATCATAATTAACATGGATTAGATCTTTCTAATTGTTAAACACAAATGAATCACAAATCAAAATTTATAAATGTGAATTCGAGAAGTAGGAAGTGTATTATTTGGATTATAAAATCACAATATAATTAAAGCAAGTGATAAATAAATAATAAAATATCATATAAATATAACCAGCATTGAAGTATCAAACTCAGTTAAGTATTCTGAAAAAAGAATTGAAGATCTGTGACAACGTATTTGTATATTATATCAACCGAAGTCGAACTAAGTACAATCAGATGAATTTAAATTTATCAGTACTTAAATGAATCATGTACACATATTGCAGATAGAAATTTTAAAGTGAAAATTGGATCTGATGATTGTACTAATATAAAATCTGTCAAATAGAGTATTGCAGTAACAATTTTGACTTCTTTGAATACGATCTCCTAGATTTTGAGAAAAATCGTTATCTTATGTAGCACTTTTTGGATAATTATGTTGTTATAACTAATCATAACCACTTAAAATTTACCATAATAATTGATCTGAATTGAGTCGAATGTGTGATTTTAAGAACTTAAAATAAGTCACAATAAACAATTGAAGCTAAAATCAAGATTTGAACTTTTTAATTATTGGAGTTGTCTATGAGTAGATTTGTCTAATTTTCAATCTTGTCAAGACAAAATTGATAAAATGAATTTTCACTCCAGATCATATGTTGCTTGGAGGGAGGAAAAAAAAGTCAGCATTGTAGACATAAACACCCTACTAAAGTAACAACTTATTGATAACATGAAATAATAATGCAACGCATTATGTAGTTTGATGTGAAGTAGATTGATGGTAAGATGATTTTTTTAACCTGCGGTAGTTAAACTAATAATTTAGATTCATGACAGCTCCTCCAAGAAGCTGATTGGGATGGTGTAGTCGGAAGCGATATCGAAAGTCGTCGTTACTCGGAAAGGCATATGACGAGCAATGGAGTTCAATGTATCATAGTACTGTCCACCAACTCGGCTGGAAGCAAGTGGACCATGGGAAGGGAGAATTTAGTGCTGCGAATGTCCTCGTGTCTTGAAAAATGAAGATCAAGACCAATGCGTATCGCCGTTTTCCACGGCTAAATACTGTTTATCAGATTCGGAAAATTTCAGTATATTCCAGACGACGTAGAGTGTCGGTCCAAATCCTATCCAAATGGTCCATGTACGTGTTATCCGAGCGATGAAGATTTGCTTCTCGCAATATCAGACGTAACAAGCAGTGGGCCGTGCGTAACGTTCGCCTGAAACGATGTCTTTGCTCTCGCGTGCGTCGAAGAAGCCGTCTTTCTTTAGTTTGTCTGATTGACTCAGAACCATGGTGAGCTCTGGAACCGTGGGTTTGAGTCCTACCCCAGGTGACGAAGTTCGATCGATGAGCAAAGAGGAACATGACCGGCCGAGACGAGAACAGGGCGAAATCACCGGCAGACGACCCCCAGTGGGATAGTGGGAAGTAGATTTTCTGGGACTGCGGCACAAGATTCACCGAGTCCACTCGGGAAGTCAACCGAGTCGGGAAAATTAAACCTCTCGGTCTCGACAGTGGTTCTCCGATCGCTACGCGGTCGACGTCCCATTCGATCGTAAGGACTCGGTTCAGAAACATCCAACAGGCTATGTGCAAAGCCCCCGATCCAGCGAACCAAGTCAGCATCCAGTTGTATGTGGTTGACAAATGGCCCGTATTATTGGCCTCGTTACCGGTGGAAATTATTGACAAATTAAATGGTCAAGAAGATAATTGCAAGGCAAGGCGATGATTCGAACGCTCCGGTCCATGCGCTTCCCTGTTTTCCTTCTAGTTCAGAAAGTTTCCTATTTCTTGAAATCGGGGACGCAAGTCGTTTTGACTTCCGAAAGGTATCCGAGCATCATGATTGTGCATTCCGGTCTTAATAAACGGCTGTCCACTTGACCAGCCCATTTAGCCATTCCGTTGCTTTCAGTTTTGTACAGTACGTACAGCCGACTGCAAGTACAAGTGCAAGCCCTGCACGGACACAGTCAAGTCGGCCCCTTTTCTCTGGGGTCTTGGATTTACTCTAAGCGTAATCAAGAGTAGCATCACTCTGCTGAAGAAGTTTTCTGAGGGAGTGTGAGTGTCATTACATTACTGTAACGGACTGTTAGGATGCACTTTTATCTAATTATGGAAATGAAACCAAGAACCGATTTCTCAGATTATCTGTTATGCTTTATACTGGGTGGAATCAGTACCTTCGAAATACTCTCCGGAATTATTTGCTGATCCGATTCGACTTGATAGATACATTTCTGGTTTAATCCGGGTCTCGAGGTTCCGGACGGAGGAGCTCGAATAAAGTGAAGCCACGGAGCATAAGCGTGGGGAGGTCCAAGTTTCAGGATAAATTCAGGCTTTTCGCGTCGGGAAGGAGGAGTTCCAGCCTGGTTTTGACTGATTGACTGACTTTTGCCGAGTTTCTTGAAAAGAAGTCTCGCAGGCAACTCGCCATTCGGAGCCCAAGGAGTCGAGTCCCAAATACGAGAAGGCGAGAAAGTAAGTTGTGGAGACGGACTTACCGCAGCCAAGCCGACGCCGTGGACAGACTCACGGGAAGGGCAGACGGCGGGACGGAGCTCGTACGTTACTGATATGACCGCTGCCGCGGGGCGAGGTCTTATATATCATGAGGAGAGCAGATCAGAACGGGCCGCTGGGGAATCTTGCTCGAGACCGTGCTCGCTGTGAAGCCGAGCCGAGAACATTTGCAATCATCCCATCGGTGCGTCTCACGCCAGCTCGCTGCCTGATGCAATCGCGCTACACGAGATTCGGCTGTCAGTCTTCTTTCTCTCTCTCTTCATTGGTGAGCATGCGAACGAGGGTTCAGGCAAAGGGGGCCAGTTTCTCATGAATGTGTCGCATCGCGAGAAGTATAAGGCTTTCGTTCTTGAATTGCTACCTACCCGGGCCTTGTTCTCTTCGGTGTGTACCTGGGATTTAATGCTTCATTTCAATCACTGAAAAACGAGTGATTGCGCCGGCCTTGGTCGCGTATATGATCTGGTGCTAGCACTCTGCACTTGTCTCAGCAAGCAATGGCGCCGAGGCTGGACCTCGACGGACGGTGCATCCAACCTCTAAAGATTTGCATCATAGGCGCTGGTGGTTTTATAGGATCCCACCTGTGTGAGGCTCTCTTGTGGAACACGGAACATAGTATTATCGCTGTGGATATCTTTTGTGACAAGATTCAACATCTCCTGAGCCCGGGCGAAGAATGGAGCAATCGCATTGATTTCTTCATGATCAATATCAAGCATGATCCTCAGACTGAAAAGTTGATCAAGATATCTGATGTGGTGAGTCTGAGAGCGTTATCGTGGTCTGGAGTCTTCTAAATTTGCACAGCATGTTGTTGGGGTAGACCGAACTCCCTATTTGCACGTTTAGCCCCACTATTCTGACTGAGAAAATGCATAACAATGAGTGCTCCGGCACGAAAGATTTTCATTGGAAAGGACTGTCGTCAAATTCCCCCTCCACATGACCACATCTGCAGAATTTTGTCATGTGGAATTTCGTCCACAAGCTGTAACTCTTCAGAGTTATTTAAGTCTAAGTTTCGTTAGCTTACTCCCTGCTCCACATGACCAAATCTGCAGAATTTTGTCCCGTGGAACTCCTTCAGCAAGCTGTAACTCATTGATATTATTTAAGTCTAAATATCGTTAGCTTACCTGGTTATCTCTACATGTGGTATGGTTTGCCTACGCTTCCTAAATTTTGAAACATATGGTTTTCTTCCCCGCAGGTAATCAATTTGGCCGCCATCTGCACACCGGCAGACTACAACACACGTCCTCTAGATACAATATACAGTAACTTCATTGACGCTTTGCCGGTGGTAAGCAGTAGAGCTTTCTCATTTGAACGACTCTCCAGTCATACTTCAAGTTCTAGCATGCTACCTAAGTTTTAGCTGATCCATCTCCCTGAAACAGGTACGGTTCTGTAGAGATTACAAAAAACGACTGATTCACTTCTCGACTTGCGAAGTATATGGGAAGACGATAGGTAGCTTCCTTCCAAAGAATGATCCTCTTCGTCAGGTATTCCATGACCGAGATTGCTCTCTTTATTGTACAAAACGAACACATGTTTACATTTTGAACTGTTAATCATCCTTTCATATGAATTTTCTCTAATAATTCTTGTATGTTCTCGAGAGGTGCTCCGTTCGTTTTGATTACACTGTCTCAAAACTTATACTCTTGCTTTGATTGAGTGCTGACATAAATCAGATAATGGGAATAAACCAGTTGACTATATTAACATATTTAGTCAATGGAGTATTAATAACACAGTTATTTGAATATTATAAAATAGTTCTGATATATTTACGAAGGGGATCCTTTCGTGTTTTTTTATTACAAGCTTGAATTCTAATCTTGAATTGATATAGCGCTAACATAATTCGGACAATGAGCAGAAATTATTGCCACTACTTACGTGTAATGTCTTAGTAAATGCATGACATGTAGCACATTATGATCTTTTGGAAACAGAAAATCAGTGTTGATGAACGTATTTCCCATTGTCCAGCATATTGAAGTTCCTTCCTATTCCAACAACTTGACTTATATTTAACAAAATATTGACAATCAATTATATCAACATCGTCCTCTCAAACGACTTCAATTCATAGACATACTCAATAGCGAGCACAACATTGGGGCTTGGAGTGGTTAGTCAATGGTATAACTCCAAGAGAGGACATTACCAAACTTCTTTAAGCAACATCGCGGGATAGGGCCAAATAAACCGGCGACCCAAAGGGTTCGGGTCGAACCTCCCGGCCTCTAACCTAACGGTTAGAGGCCGGGAGGGCTTTGTCTGAATAAACAAAAAAAAGATTAGCGATACTAAGCTCGCGAGCAAATGATAGAGCTGCTCGCCAACTCTTCTTGTTGATTCGCAGAAATAACAAGGTGCGTGCGGCTGCTATGTTGGGGCTCTCTTTAAGAGGTTCATAGAAGCTATTTTGTGGAAGTTTTAAGAGGCTAGCTTGCGATGTGTGTAATCTCCCGTCATTGAAGTTAGGACTCATAATCGGCATGTCTTGTCGGTAATTGATGTCGAATAAACTTTTTCGGAATCATCTGTTCGCTTTTTCGTACATTGATATCTGTTATAAATTAACTTGCACTAATACGTAATTCTTATCATGGACAACCGATATCGTTATAAGTAATCAGCATGCTGCCAAATGTTATTGGCATTCCATTGCACATTGTGCAGCATCCAAACTTTTACGTTTTGAAGGAGGATGAGTCTCCTTGCATTTTTGGTTCCATCGATAAGCAGAGATGGTCATATGGTTGCGCAAAGCAATTGTTGGAACGACTCGTATATGGTAAGGCTTATTGATCCGCATTGATTCTAATTGCATATTGAGCATTTACGTGAACATCGAAGACTTGTTCGCCGGGAATTAAGTACACCGCATTTCATAACGTTATGTTTCATTGCGGTTGTCAGCGGAAGGAGCTGAAAACGATTTAAAATTTACTATCGTCAGGCCATTTAATTGGATTGGACCTCGCATGGATTTTATCCCTGGAGTTGATGGACCTAGTCACGCAGTGCCGAGAGTTCTTGCGTGCTTTAGTATGGTACGTGACAACGTGCATTACATATAAATTAGGGTGACAGCCGCGATATTATCCAGTTGCAGTACTGTTCATCGAATTTCACAATATCAGTATAAATTTATAATCTTCCAGTGACGAGGTTTTGTGTGATTTTGACCAGTCATAATCTTAACTCAATTTATGTTTTGTGTCCATAACTTATACTATCAGGCGTTAATGAAGGAAGAACCTCTGAAGCTCGTTGACGGCGGAAAGGCGCAGCGCACATTTTGTTATATCAAGGATGCAATTGACGCAGTTCTTCGTATTATTGTAAGTTTTGACATCGGTATATCCATATTACTTTTCATAACTCGTCATAGTTACGTCGTGAGAACATCACAATTGTTTCTACAGATGTGCTGAATCATATTGCACATCTACAGGAAAACCCCGACAGAGCCAACATGCGAATATTCAATGTCGGCAATCCCATGAATGAAGCAAGTGTGAAAGAGCTTGCCGAGATCATGACAGACGTAAGTGAACTCCAAAAATTCTTTTGGTTGGTGGTTTGTAGGCAAAAATTTCAGTGTACTTGATAAGGGTCTGAGTTATTCAAACCACTGAAAAATGATGCGAGCGGTTTTCTATCAATCTTACTTAGGGGGTTGTATAATATTACTTTTTTTAATACCCAGCATTATTTTCAAGACGTGAACGTATTCAAGGTTTTTTGGTAGGTACATCCGATTCTTCTTATTTTCATAATTATGACATATGTTTGTGGGTTGAACCTGATTATATCATAGCTGATGGTTGAGCGTAATGTATTTTTTAACTCACGGGAAGACCAATGAAAAAAGCATTTATATCGTATAATTTGCTTAGAATAATCTTCTCGCGTTCTTTACTTGAAATTTACATGGCTTCCACATGTAGATTTCAAATAAACAACTTCAAGCGGGGAGAGCAGAAGTGCTCGACGAAGACTGTCTGTTTTACTAATCTTTATAGAAGGTCTTTAGATTTCACTTTGCGATGAAAGTTTTTGGCATCGCTGCTGCATGTATTTAAATTTAGTCTACTTTTCCTTCTGTACATAGGTGTATTGCAAGATCAGCGGAAAAAGCAAGCCGAACATGACTACTGTTGACATATCATCCAAGGAGTTTTACGGTGAAGGTTATGAAGACAGCGATAGGCGAATTCCAGATATGAAACTGGTGACCACTGAACTGGGTAAGTGCCATTTCCGTCTCAACACAATCAAATATTCTGCTTTATGGGATTTGACGTTTTTTCTTTTGGTGTAGTTTCCTACTAAAGGACGAAATTCTGATTTTGATTATATCGAACATTTTGCTGGTAGACTCCTAGTTTTGGAATGCTCATGGAGTACCGGGTTCTAAGGTTTTTCTATCCCGCTTGATAAAAATCATGGAGACCAATTCATGTACACGGCAGTTCTTTCCCATGTTTGCTTTACTATTAAAGCATCTTACATAATAGCTATATGTGGAGTTATACATGATGACATGTATCCGTGAAAATCAAAGAGATAGAAACAAAGATTTCTGGAAAATATCTAAGGCGAACTAACATTCTCTCATCATGTGATCAGAGTGGCAACCTACTACTTCTCTGCACGATCTTTTGGAGTTCACTCTTGTGTATCAACACAAGACATATTCGCAGGCAGTACGAGAATGTATCTCCAAGAAACTTTCAACAAGTGACTTGTAAGCGCAATTGTGGATGGTGCAATCCTCGCATCGCATTACCTCTCCATTGATTTTTCAACTCTGAAGAGAGACATGTTATCATGCCATTGTTAAGATACTTAACACTCGAAATTCTTATTACTTGATATACTAGAGCTCAATGATGAAACCTGTGTATTATGCTCTGCAAAGTTGGTTTGAAAGTCCTGATTTCTTCGTCGGTCTTTGATGCACTATCCACCTTTTGACACTATGCCGATAACTGATTTAATAAAATTGCAGATTCTAAATTTTTTTTGTACTTTGTTGTCCAATAAGACTCTCATACCAGACCTTTAATCCACGTCTTAACATTCATGGATTATTATTTTTTTGTGCTAAAGGCTTCAAATCCGTTTATCATTTATATCATGATTTTCAACGTATTGTGAGTATTTGATACTTATACCATTTTAATATTACAATATTTCACAACATTGTAGGAGAATGAACTGGAAAGCTCTTCCTCATGCTTGAGTCAAATGATTAGACATCAAGAACTTTGTCACTTTCAAAACCAGACGAAGAGTAGACTTCTGCGCATTGGTTTAATTTCCATTGGTTCATCCATGGTTCAATTTCTATTCCGTCACGCAAAAGTCAAAATATCTAAACAGATTGATCAGTGGTATGGACGATTTATTCTATAAAGTTTCATCATCTTTACATTGAGAAAATTGTCTCTATTCTATATTCTTCCCGAGCATGTTATATATCCATGATATATAATATCTGCGTACAAACCAAAGGAGCTTTTAAGCTTTAATGTTGTAATGATTGTCACTACCATTAGTAAAAGCCATAATATCTTCGTACAAACCCGAGGAAAGTTTAAGCCTTAATTTTCTATAGGTTTCCACTAAAATTAGTAAAAGCCATTACAAGATTGTATCTATTGTTGTGATAACAACATCAACTTCATTTCTTCAATTACAGAGTTGTTACAAAATTAGATTTATTGAGTACAATTTATTGCAAGTAACTTATACATATATCTCACACAAGCAATGTCATGTTTTTTCATAGAGTTTCATAGTACAGCTAGCAAGTAACTTTACATATCTCTTGCACAAGCAATGTTATGTGAGAGAAAGAGACAACAATCCGACCTTTCGAAGTAGTAGAAGCCCAAGTGACAAACCTACTCGAAATGCAATGGGATTAACAAAGTTTAAAAACTCTCAGCATGTATTGAATATCATTGTCAATGGTTGATATGTCAAAACTCTTGAAAGCAATCACTCTAGTATGTTATAGCCTCACGTTTAGCATAAGTAAAGCACACACAAACAAAATGACCATCACACAGCTCATTAATTTAGATGTGCGGACATTTAGATAAATTAGGTGCGATCTCCGGTTGACTATTGTAGGCATTCCTCCATTCGACTATTTTACGCATGCCTTATATATCATAAGCATACCTTATAAATATATTGAAATGATATAACATCTCTTTCCTTGTAGATTGATGAAATGACAGATATCACTTACAACACTTTATATTTTTGATTTTATTGGAATAATTTTTCTTAATCACAAAACATAGCTTATACTGTTACAGTAAAACTCAAGAATTATACGTGAAACACAGAAATAACGTGATTCACCCTCAGCCAGAGGGTTACGTCCACCTAGATTCTCAGCACTTTATTCCAGGTCTTGTTAGAAAGACTCAATGTACAAGATGAATCTTGAAGTATTTATCCATAGTCCAGATTACCGTACTAGCTATGAATAGCTAGGACCCGAGGTTAATTGGAATTATCCTCAACATATAACACCATGCTGATAAATATGATCCAAATTCATTTTGATATGAACAAAAATTTTAAATTTTGCAATAACTTTCTTAAATCTTTTGTCAAAATCTTAACTTCTAATAAATTTAAATTTGTTCATTCAAAGTCTTGGATGCTAGATTGATTCAAGTGTTATTTTTTTAAAACTCACTTCTGATAAAAAATGGTGATATTGATTTTAGTGTATATACACCCAACACACACCCACGCAGTTTAAACCGCACACACCCAAGAAATGCCACACTATACACCCGGTCTTGGCAAATTTGACCAAAAATCTATTTTTAGAACACTCGCGCGTTCGACTCCTTCCATCGCAGAGCATCTTTCTGCCTCACATTTCAATGGTACTACTGTACCCCTTCAGGCTGCACCCATTTATCGCGACTAGAGGGTCCGCACTGTAGCGTGTTATTTCTTGGGTGTATATCACTAAAACTTTGCGGGTGTGTATTGGATGTATATACACTAAAATCAATATCACCATTAATTATATATATAATATCCATGTGTCATGTAGCCTATGTTTTATGAATCTAGAATATATTTTAAAGACATGTATCTTATACAAATTAATATCAAAATGAAAATGTATTCTTTTAAAAACTTCTTTTCAGTTAATAATCAATTCTATTATCATCAGTATTAAAAGAGATGTACTAAGGTCAATCTAAAATGTGATTTGCCATATCAAAGAACTAGATTTGAAACATCATGAACTGATCCTTCATTTCATTTTTTGCAATAACTTTTTTCAAAATTGATGCAACTAATAGATGTGAAAATGGCCAAAATCATCATTCAATTATCAGTCATTGTAAAATAGCTTATAAAATGATCCAAAACGTACGATAAAGTATAGTAGTATAATTTTAACTAAGATTCGTTATATTTGGCTGGTTTGTATTGCAATCCAAGAGTGTGTTATATAAATAAATAAATATATTACGTCGGAAGTTTGTGCACATAGTTGGTAGTTTACAATTACCTCATATTGGTTTCTAGAACAATCCAATTTGATGAAACATGAGGCAACCTGCTTTACCAAAGCCCGAAATGTGAAATCATTAAAAGTTGAGCAAGTCAAACGATCCAAGCAAAGCTGACGCGGGGTCAGGAGTTTGAAGTCAGCGAAGGAAACTTTAAGAGAATTGAGAGGAATGCTAACCAATGGTGCCAATGCCTGATGACGCTAAAAAAAATGTTCGGCCATTCTGTTGGCTAATTTCCCACGCTGGAAGATCGTAATTACCTCTGGATTGACGACATATGCCGACTCTAATTTCTGTCAAAATACTTGGGAACTTGAATGCATGGCTACATAATCTTAGTTTAGTGATCATCCAATGAGATGGTATGAGATGGGAACTTTGTTGAATGACCTGCTCCACATTCTATTACATTGTAGAAGAGTTCCCCTCTCAGTTAGTACACTGGTACACTCAACCAATGGCTGATGCGTCAGGAAAGCTAGGATATTAGGTGCATAATTACCGATTGTCTTATTTCTTCTCTCTCGTCAGTAAATGTCTGCATGATATTATTATATTGAAGTTATTTCTCTCCTACGGCATGCTTTTACTTGTATATGTTTTTTTTTGGTCATTTGTGTTAGCTCACAATGCGTTGTGATTATTTTTTTTATGTAGTGTGTCTATTTAAAACAATGGCACTCCATATATTAGCACCTACGTAATTTTTTGAACTAGATGATAATTCTCTTCTCCCCCCATGGTGTGTCTTTACAGACTTTTAAAACTAGGAAGTTATAGTCTATATTTCATTACTATGTTACTGGGGACTAATCCATCCAACCCTTTTGATTCATCCGTATTGGATTTTTTAGTGATTTCCCTTCCAAAGAATATGCATCAACGATATATTGGAGTTTAAACGTTTCTCAATCAAATCATTTGCTCACAGTAACATCATGGCATTCATCACTTTCCTAATCTCTTCCAAATTAATGTCAAGTATGCGTATAGCTGAAGAAAAGCTCCCCCATTATGATGTCGATGATAACACTAGAATGTTTCCATGATCTCCTCGAGAGACATGAAAACTTGGGACAAACGTAGAGATTCACGAAACCAAATAATCTAAGCTGACGAGATCGATTTGAAGAAACAAAATAAAAAAATAATCAATAAAAGACTAGCACCTATCATGCTTAGTTGGATTAAGGAGCAACAACCAAATCAGTAGTGTCACTCAAACGAAACGTTGTCGATTGGACTCCAAACTCGATGGATCAAGAAGCTCAGTGTAAATCAGAACTCTGGATTTCGGCGCAGATCATAAGAACAGGACATGGCGGAAGAGGGCCACTACGAATGTTGACTGTCTCTCTATATACAAGAACGTCGTCGATGACTGCAGTCGACTGCGGTCGAGAGGCAGTTAAGAGGAAGCCACGTCAGACAGGGAAGCCCACGTCAAAGCGGGGGTCGCAGAGGGCGAGGCCGTCCGAGGCGGCGTCCGGGCCGCAGGGATGCGCCGGAAGCTGCCACCACGAGCGCGTCTGCACATCGCACATGACGACGTCGGTGCAGCGATTGGCCACGCACAGGAATCGCCCGTTGGCTCGGCAGGTGTAGTGCCCGCCGCCGGCGTCGGCGCTCGCGTTCAGCGCGGCGACGAGCGCCGGCGGCATCGCCACCACCTCGGCCCAGTCGCCACCACCATCGCCCTCGCGCCGGCTCGAGCTCGAGAAAAGCTCGTGTCGTCGCCAGACTTTGAATTGGCGCAGGGTCAAAGCGCGTGGGTCGACTTCGCCCCCGGCCGCCATGAACGACTCGTCGTGGTAGAAGAGGATGGCGAAGGTGAGCGCCGCCGGCAGCTCGGGCGCGGTGGGTTCCATTTCTTCGATGGAAACGCCGCTCGACAGCTGCGTGCCGTAAATGCGGTACGGTTGGTCGTTCACCGTGGTCAAGGTGGCGGGGCGGCCCAAGCACACGAGATGGCCGCCCACGAGCAAGGAGCTTTCCAGGCTGATGAACCTGTGCGTCGACCAGCTGACGATCTTTCTCCATTTGTCGGCCCGAAAATCGTAGCGATGGAAGATTATGGACCAGACGCAATTCCCGTCTTCGCGGTATCGACTTATGTCTGCCGATCTGGCCAGCAGCTCGTACGATCGCAGCTTCGGATCCCAAATGATTTCATGCTGGCAGTAATTGTCCTGCAGATATGGCACCGCCTTGATGTACTCGTTCCTCAGCGGCTCCAGAGGATTCACCAGCAGCAGCATTTCTCGGTGCTCCAGCAATGGCTCCGGCGCCATTGCCTTCTCCTCGACGCGCGCTTCTTCCGAACACCAATCCAAGAAATCCTCTCGAACATCGCGCACTGAGAACATGAAGTCCGTCGCGGAGCCTTCGTCGGGCCAGGTGTCATCCGTGTACATCTGAATCAGAGTCAATCCCTTCGAGGCACTGACCACCGGGAAGCGTCGGCCGCGCGAGGTCTTGGACACGTCCCGAGCAATGTCGCTCGCCGCTGCCGAGAGACTCGGCGGAAGGTCGACCCCCGACACATGCCACTTGCCCGTGACGGGATTGTAGAAGGAATTGGCTCGGGTGGAGCTCGCCAAGCATAAGGGCTGCTGATCCTGATCCTTGCGCCACGAGCTTTTGAAACTCGCACTGCGCAGAAACTCATCCCACTCCCTGCTCAGAGCTCGCAAGCGCAGCACATCCTTCCAGGGCAGAAACCGAAACACCGCCGTCAACACCGAGTCCGGCAAGTTCGCCCACACTTGGCAATCCGGCACCTCCTCGTCCTCGCTGCATGCGCGCCTTCTCTTCCTTCCATCCCCTCGCGTGTCCTCCATCGTCGGGTGCGATCGAATTCTTCCCCTTCACGAACTATCTCTCGATCCACTCACTGCCACAGCGAATGGATCAGCGAAACGCGTCGGAGTCGATCGTCGTGAGCTTAGGGATGGAGCCGAAGAGGAGAGAAAGAGTGGGACACGAACACGAGAGGTTTTAGCCGGAAATTGATCATCTTTGTGTGACTGAACGAGTGTCTGACAGTCCGAGGGAACGAAAGGTCGCACAGGTCGCGACGGAGCAAGGCTTCTTTCTTCTGTTCGGATTCGTCTCCCTTTTCTACTCTTCTCGTTCATCGATCTTCGCCAAGATCATTGGATCCTTAAAATCCGAAACGATCGATCATTCTACTCACATGCGCGACTCTTCGGACTGACTGTACGAGCACACCCAGTTCCTTCTTGTAGCAGCAGCAGCAGCAGCCGCAGAACACCCAACAAGTGAGTGAAGTGAGTGCAACTCCCCACACCACTGCCACAGTCCACTTAAGCAACTCGTCCTACGACGTCATTACGATAATGCTGTTCAGTTCAGCACAGTGAGGTCTTCCATGCCTCCTGCAAGTCTGAAATCCACACACTCGGAATGAGACGTCCATCAAACTCCAATATATTTTTGCACATTCTTCTTACGATCTCTTCTTTTCGAAATCAACCCTCACGTGATAACATTTCCGAGTCTAATCGCACCCTGAAAACACGTGAAAATACCAGAGACGAAACCTCGCGCTGCACAGATGGAGCCGTCATCGTCGACTCGTCAGAATACGACTAACACGTAGAGAATTATAGATCGGCACGTCGATGGCATCAGAGCCGTCTCAGACATAGTTTCGACCCGAGTTAGCTTGTAAACACGAGGCCCAACCACCGATGGCCGAGGACGTCGAGGAAATTGAAGGAAATTGAAGTCTGTGTGGTCTCAGACGAGTCAGAGGTCTCAGACTGGTCAGAGGGGCCGACGCTCTGACTGCTGCGGTCGTCGTCGGGTCGCCATAACTCGCGACCACCTGCCCGCCTCCCTGCCCTGTGGCCTGGACCGGTTGGGCTCCTGGCAGACTTCCGGGCACCGCGAGAACAGGTACCGATGTGGACTTTTCAGCGCCCGGCGACCGGCCGGGCCCGCGACTTCCGGAGTCTACGGACCTCGGAATTCTGTTGACGACCGAAGCCGCACAGCGGTTACACGTGGACTGGTCGCTCTGGTCTCCGGGCAGGTATGATGTCTCTTTGTCCCTCTCTGCCATCTCGTACGGTGACGTTAAAGTGTGTACCCGCGACTTCTTCCGTGAATCGCTGCTATTTCGGTAAATATTCATAGCGAATCCGTCATTATTATTTCTCGATTCTCGGTATTTTTCCCCGAATATATTAACTATATTTTTTCGATAATGAACGTGATTTGTTCATTAACGAAAAAATAAATCATCAATATAGAAACAACAAATGAATAGTGGCCCCCGTAGATATAGCTAAAATGATGGGAACACCTTGTGTGATACATGATAACCTCCAACTTGAGTTATTAATTTATATACATCAACGCAAGCAGCTATCAAAAATATATTCAAAGAGCATTTTCATTCAATATCTAATCAGGTAGTAGGCGTATTCACCTGAAAAGTGTAAAATTGGATTAGACCCATTATCTTCACAACAGAAATTGCAATCTGACATTCTAAAAATCCATCCGAAAAATTATCTCGATTGCTATACCATGACTTGTAGCAAGTACAATTCATCGAATGTATATATTTAACACAAATATTATCGTTTACTCTGTAAGTGGTGCTTTATTCCAAAGTGGTTTATGTGAAATGAACAAAAACTACTTTACAAATAATTGATATCTATTTGTGTCCCTCGAAAGTCAATTGTTCATAAAATAAATTTACAATAAAAAGATATTCATTAGCTCGAAAGTTGGAATGCTGATTCAAATTTCTGTATTAATGAGTTTCAATTTGCTCATGTGAACAGATATAGCATATCTAGGAAAAACATACAAAAACAAAAACACCACAAACTCAATCATTTAGCATATGTATCACTAAAACTTTGAGAAACACTTAAACCATAGGACTCTCCAAACCCAGCATAAAATGCAGAAATAGCTCACCAACACAATCTCTAAGATCAAGGTTCACATCAATTTACCCTTTGGAAAGTAAAGTGACAAGATTAATATTTTGTTGTAAAACAAAAGTTTTTGGTATACAAAAAAATACAATTATATATAATTAACGATAGAAAATATTTAAAATTCAAATCAAATGTGTATGAAAACAAGTTCTTCATCATTTTTCATTATAGTAAGTTTTGACATAACATCATTATGTCAAGTTTTGATATTAAATGTGTTGATTTTCATTTAAGATTATTACAAACAAATGTAACACTAGATATTGAAATAAAATCCTACTCAAAAATGAAACACAACCATGAAGATGAAAAATATCTACAATGATTTTCATTTTTATTTATATAAATTGATAGATAGAAAGATATAAATAGTACGGATGCAAACATACGGATCATTACTGTGTTGCTTTCAAGTAATATACTAAGTAACAAAAGGAATTTATATCCAGCAAGCATATAAACAAGATTGTCACACAGATTGAGCAACATTAAATTTGAGTAACATCTTAAAAACTTTAAAAAACACTAAATTGTTTTTGATATTTTTGAAGATATAAGAAAATGCTAATGTTTGTTCATAAAATATACATTTTTTTCCAAAACTAAAAAAAATTTGTAATCAATTTTTTTTTGTTATTACAATCAATGTGATATAATATTTCATCTCATGATATATCACTATAATTTCAGTTTATTTTGCAAAATTTATACTTAGTTTTATATCATTAGTTTATTTATGAAATGAAAATGTAAAAATCTGAATCCAAAATATGGTATATGAGAGGGTTACATGAGAGGAATATAAATTTCAAATACACTTGCGAAATTAAAATTCTAAAAAATATAGCAATTCTTTCTATATATATATTTAAAAAAATTTATACGTCATAAATAATCAGAAAAAAATTTTAGTTTTAAAAATTTTATTTTAAATAAAGATCATGAAACTTTTTTTATTTTTTATTTGATTATGATAAAATCATTTTTCTGTTACATGATATTTTAATTAACAATATATACTCAAATGCAATCTTTGTTTGACAAAATGTTCATATTCAAATGATTTAATAATACAAAAATATTAAATTTTTTTATATAATTGCAAAATTATTACAGAAAGTAATTTTATTTATTATTAACAATATTATAAAAAAATATTTTAAATATCATTTGGATTTTTTGTAAGGATAATAAAAAATTTATTTACGTTTTTCTTGATACTTGATTTTTGAAATCAATGATTGATGTTTTTTATTATATATAAAATTTTTGATATTTTTCTTATTAATATTCTGAATATTTGTTGAATACATATAACATATTTATCAATCTTGATTTCATTTAAAAACAAATTGCACAAATTTCGTGTTTAATTTTTTAATCACAGATAAAAACCAAATACTTGTGTCAAAATAAATATATAGAAATATACATATTTGAATATATCTTGTGTAGTGATTTTTAAAAATATTTTTATATTCAATCGTAATTTTTTTAAATCATTACATTTTTAAGTAAAAATAATTTAATGTAACATATATTTAAATTATATTGTAATTATCAATATATACTTTAAATTACAAATAATAATATACACTACACACATTGTTTAATAATTTGAAAACTTTTTTCTTCATATGATGAAAAATGAAGACATGCTTGATGTGAATTATATGTCATTTTCAAGCATACATAATTCCAAAATTTAGATCTAATACTATATTTATCTCTAAATTAATTAAATAATTGAAACACATTTGATCTTGAAAAAATATCACAATAATTTTTACATGCATGATGCTAGTTATTTTAGCTTATTGATACAATGATAACAAATGATTTGATTTTTTTCCTTATAATACCTAATGAAACACATTTGTAATGTACAAAATTACATTTGTAAACGTAAAACACAAGAATCATCAATAACACACTCAACGAACAAAGTCATCAACACGAGAGACCAGAGTATAACGTGGTTCATCGTTGAGGAGTACGTCCACGGAGACAATAACATTGTGATAATATATTGTGTAACTGGCTAGTAATACACAGATACCCAACACTGGCGATCAATCTCAACCATAAATAGTTAAACGTGAAGTTACTCCTTAACCAGAGTTAATCTCAACACTGATTTGCAAAACATTTCAAATTTTCAAAGTTTAATAGTATTTGACAAATGCAAATAATGTCCTTGAAGAGCATTCTGTGTGATCTAAATTTCAATTCTTATATAAATTTTAAAATAAAACTCATTAATATCAGTTAATACAAAAATTAAAGAGATTTCCTTACGAATGTAAATTTCATATCAAACATTTTGTAGAAAACTATGAAGACATTCAAGTTAGTCACTCTAGAGCTATGTACTTTTGAAATTTTCAAGTGGGTCATGCTTCTTTAGACCAATTTTACTTGTAGATCATGGAAGTAAAATTTCCTGCTACTACTTGACACAAAATCTTCTAGTAGTTGAAAGTTGAATTAAAAGTTCATCTAATAAGTTATCTTAAATTCATAATTCTAGGGCATCATCAACCTCAAATCTACATAAGTCTTTATTGAAGCTTGTGTCAATGGATTGTTAAATGCGGATAGAGTATGGCTCAATAAGCAAATGAAAGTAATGAATATTATAGGATATTGTGAATTAAAAGAAATGAATTCAAACTTGAGCATTAATACTTCATCCCACCAACATATAAAGCTTACAACATTACTAAATATACTTTCAAATCGTTAGATCGTAACTTTAGTTTTTTGAGTTCATTCTCATAGTTTGGAGAAACATTTCAAAGTTGATGCGCATTATCATGATGATGTGTTCTTTAGATTACCTCATGATTCTTTTGTATATTTAATTGTAAAGCTTCATGACTTGTTAGAAGTCTAAGGAAGACGATGGTAACATTACAATGTTACCATCGTCACCATGCTTTAGATTAGTAGTCCATATTGTTCTTTGATGATTTTCTTTTGAACAATGTAGATCAATTTGTTTTAAAATAGCAAATTTATGAAGTTTTACTTGTATTTTCTTGGTTGTAACATAAAAATATGATGTTATTTGTATATAATCACAAATGTTGGGACTAATCGTAGTTATTGTTATAGAATTCCAGTAAGGTATTCCATCATTCATGTTGTACTAATCTTCTTAACAATCTTATAAATATATTGATAAAATTTTAAAATACTAGAATCACTTTACCTTGAACAAGAAATAAATTTAAAAATTCAGAATTGAATTTTGCATATATATAATTTATTATAAAGTAAGTAATTGATTTCATTTTATTTCTTTCATATTATTAAAAAGTTAAGTTTTTGCAATTAATTTACAGATCTTGCATCCCTGATTAAGTCAACCACATTAGTCAAATGCACTAACACACACGTCAACACAAGAACGTTTATATTCAATGGCACAACCGACAATGAACCTAAGTGATTCATCACTGGTGACTACATCCACACCTTAAGTTTTATTGAAAAACTCTAAAACATGAGTTAGAGAATTTTTGTGAATAATCTTATATAATGAAGGTTTAATCAGATTGAATAACTTCGATTAAGTTAATTTTTAATGTAGATCTTAATTCATCTTGTGAAGACCGTAATCTTCATAACTTATAAAATAATATAAAAAATAATAATTTTAGCTGCATTCAATAAAAAATGTATATATTTATAAAATAATATTTCTAGTTAATTATATTTGTGCTTCCTATACAAAAGTTTCAAAAAAGCATAGTATTTGTTAAACAAATGAAGAGTAATCATTTGATCAACACATTTGATTTTTTGCCAAATGAGCATGTTATCAATATAAAATATTAAAGTAATTAGATTAAAAATCTTATGTTTCTATATATATATATATATATATAGAGAGAGAGAGAGAGAGAGTT